CACCTGGCTCCTGCCTTCAGATCAGTGCGGTGCACCGGCTGCAGCAGCCATTTGGGGGGTGAACCAATGGCAAAGGAAGACCTTTCTCTCTCTCTCTCTCTCTCTCTCTCACTGTCCACTCTGCCTATCAAAAATAAATAAATAAATAAATAAATAAATAAAAAGAAAGTAAAAAGAGAATGTACAGATTGGAGAAATTTTTAGAAATCTTGTATCTGAGAAAGGATTTATACCCAGAATGCATGAATAACCTTTGTAACTCAACAATAAAAATAACACAGCTTTTAAAATGGGAAAAATATCTGAACAAAGAAGACATACCAGTGTCTGAAAAGCACATGAAAATTCTCAACCTCGTTACTAATTGGGATATTACAGATCACATCCACTAAGATTTCACATCCACTAAGAGAGCTTACAAAAGCATGGCTAATAGGAAGTGTGGATGGGATGTGGAGAAATTGAAACCCTAACAGTGCTTATAGAAATATGAAATGATACAATCACTTTTAAAACATCTGGGCAGTTTCTCAAATGTTAGAGAATTGCCAGAATGGCCCAGCAGTTCCATTCCCGAGAGACATGAAAACATGAGGGCACTTCAAAACATTTATGGAAAAACAGATTTAAAAGATAAGTTTACATTCGTGTAAAAAAAAAAAAAACCTTTGAAATCTAGGCATTCATTTTTTATGATACATATTTTCCATGAACTTTTTGCAGATCCCCACATACATGGAAATTTGACCTTTTAAAAAATATTTATGTGTATATGTATTCATTCATTTCTTTGAAAGAAAAAGGGAGACTGATCTATCAATTAATCTTCTATCCACTAGTCAAATAGCCACGCAACCAGAGCTGGACCAGTGCAAAGCCAGGAGCCCAGAACCCCATCTGGGTCTCCCACATGAGTGGCAGGAACCCAAGTTCTTGGGCCATCATCTCCTGCCTCCCAGCTACACTAGCAGGACGCTGGACTAGAAGCACAGAGTGGCAGAGATTCAATCTGGCACTCCAGTATACAATGCTGGCATCCCAGATGGTAGCCCAACCCACTGAGCCGCTGTGCCTGCTCCAAACTTATCTTTTAATGCCATTTTCCACAAAGTTTTTGACAAGTTCTCATATGTTCACATCAGTGTTCTTGGCAGCATTATTTCTAATTGTAAAAACAATGGATACAGGCAAAATGCCCATCAACTGATGAATGCATAAACCAAATGTGGTATATCTGTGCAATGGAATATTACTTAGCGATAGAGCTGGAGCACTGATGCATGCTACAATGTGAATGAAACTTGAAAACATTGTGCCAAGAGAGAGAAGCCAGTCACAAAAGGCTACCTATTGTTACTTCATTTCTATGACGTGTCAAGAAAAGGCAAATCCACAGAGACAGAAGCAGATTCGTGGTTGTCAGGGGCGCTTCTGCCATTCTCCAAGGCTCAGCTCTGGGGGCTGGCATTGGGGCAGGGCAGGGGAAGCTGCACCTGCAATGCTGGCATGCTGTGTGAGCTGCCACCAATGTGGGAAACCCAGATGGAATGCCAGGCTCCTAGCTTCGTCCTGCCCCAGCTCTGGCAGCCATTTGGAAGGGGGGACCAATGGATGGAAGATCTGTGTCTGTCTCTGTCTTTCCCTCTCTCCCTGTAACTCTCTCTGCCTTTCAAATAAATAAATAAATAAATAAATAAATAAATCTTTTTTTTTATTTTTCAAAAAGAAGCAGCTCCAATATTACCCATGATAGGTTGGATTATTCAGGAAACTAACCCCGAGATGGAGTAAAAAGTATGAAAGGTTTATTGGGGAACAGCACCTGTGAGAGGAAAAGAGGAGGAAGAGGGACTGGACAGAGGGATGGTGTCAGACTGTGACACAGACCTCACGAAAGTCTCTACCAGCTCAACAGGAAACTGCAACCAAGATTTCCCATTAGAGTGCTGTGTTGGCTGGAAATGGGTAAGCCCTTTACCACCAGTCGTCACCCTGAGAAGAGCGTGAACCTGGTTCAAAACCTGAGGCAGATCCTGCACAGCCTTAACGACTAGAAGCTGTCAACTCGCCACATTTCTTGATGCAGCAAGTATTCCTTAAAGAGGACACAGCTGCACTCAAGTCTGTGTGCCTCCTCTGTGGCGTGTGCCTTGACTTTCCTGTCACCCGGATGAGAAGTGGTAGCTCTTTCCTGAGAAAGAGGCATTCTTTTTTTTTAAGAAGCTATTTTTTTAATATGTATTTATTTGAAAGGCAGAGAGACTGAGGCAGAGAGAAAGAGAGATCTCCATCCTCTGGTCCACTCCCCAAATGTCCGCAGCAGCTGGAGCTGGGCCAGTCTGAAGCCAGGAGTCAGGAACATCTTCAGGTCCTCCGCTGCTTTCCTAGGCCATTAGCAAGGAGCTAGATTGGAATTGGAGCAGCCAGGACGCGAACCAGCGCCCATATAGGATGCCAACACTGCAGGCAGCAGCTTTACCTGCTACTGCACTGGCCCCCAAGACAACATTCTTGTTACCCCTATGTTCTGAACTCTTAGAGGCAAAAAAACAGTCTGAACCCTTTGTGTCTGATGCAGAGGCATCATCAGTGGGACGTGGTGGTCTTGCAGTCGGCGACAGGAGACTGGGAGTAGATCATTATTCAACCAGCTCTTGTGTCATGTTTTTGAATCTGATAACCCAAGATTCAAGAAGATTGGCCGACGCCGCGGCTCACTAGGCTAATCCTCCGCTTTGCAGCGCCAGCACACCAGGTTCTAGTCCCGGTCGGGGCGCCGGATTCTGTCCCAGTTACTCCTCTTCCAGGCCAGCTCTCTGCTGTGGCCAGGAGTGCAGTGGAGGATGGCCCAAGTGCTTGGGCCCTGCACCCCATGGGAGACCAGGAGAAGCACCTGACTCCTGCCTTAGGATCAGCGCGGTGCACCGGCCGCAGCACGCTGGCCACGGCGGCCATTGGAGGGTGAACCAGTGGCAAAGGAAGACCTTTCTCCCTGTCTCTCTCTCTCTCACTGTCCACTCTGCCTGTCCAAAAAAAAAAAAAAGATTCAAGAAGATTACACTATGAAGTATCTATTATTTTGTACTTGATTTTCTTCTTACCTCCCGCTACTGTTTCTCAGTCGGCTTTGCTGCTTTCTTGTGATGTCTCTGACCTTTAAACCAGGAACCAGTTTTTGCATCTAATCCCTTATCTCTTTATTCCCTCCCTGTTGATGATCTCATTTGGTTTCCAGCCTTTAACTAGAGTCTGTGTGCTACCAATTCAAATTTCCAGCTCTAGCTCAGATCTCTCCCCTCAAGTCCAGGCTCACTTCTCCCTCCCTCCCTGCATGACCCTGCTACTTGGGAATCTGATTAGGCATCTCCAAATCATCAAGATTAAAACTAAACTGCTGACCTTACTCCTAAAACCTGCTTCTCCCCACTCTTTCCTGTCTCAGTAAACAGCTGCTCCATCATTCTTCTTGCTTAGGTAAAAAATGTGGAATTAAACTTGACTCCCTTCTCTGTCTCCTACCCATCATGGTTCCTCAGTAAATCCCATTATGTCCAGAGCCTGACCGCGTTGCCCCACCAAGCTGTGATCATTCGTGGTGCTTGGATTTCTGCAGCAGCAAAAATGCATTTCCCTCCTTATGCTTTTGCCTTTCCTGTCTCCCCAGTTCTGTTCTTAACACTGCAGCCTGAGTGGTCCTTTTAAAATGTAAACCAGTCTTGTCACCCATCTCTTCAACCCCTCCAAGGATGTTCCATGGCTTCCCCTCTCGGAGTAAAAGCCCTTAAGTTGTCTACAAAGCCCCACCTGTTCTGATCCCCTGCTTGCTCCCAACCTCAGCTGCTCCCGCTGCCCCCAACCTCCGCCCCCTATCAGCTTTGGCCACACTGGCGTCTTGCTCTTCCTTGAACACAGGAAGTCTGCCAGGGGTGCTTTGCTCTGCTGTCTGTCACCTTTTCTGCAAAACTAGTACTGGGCCTTCTCCAAGTTTTTGCTCAGATGTCACTGTTCCTCAGCGGCCTCTTCGCTGACCATCCTAATTAAAATTGCAGTACCTCCCGCTAGCACTCACATCCCCTTTTACTCCTTCGTTTTTCCGAGCAGCAGTCACCATCATTTAAAATCCTGTGTGTCTTACTAATATCTTTGTCTCCCCTCACCGGGAAGTAAACTCCACAAGGAGTGGAATTTTGACAGTTTTAGTTCCCTCTGTCTCCCTCTCTGCACCCATGACTGTCTGACCCTTAGCAGTTACTCCTGGCTGGATGACTGCCAGGTCGTTTGCAGGGCATTAAGCCCCCACAGCAACCCCAGGACCTGGGGAAGTCCAGCTGCAGCAGTTCAGTGGGGTGGCTTCCACACCATGCCGTCCCTTCCACAGGACCTACGGGGGCCCTTGCTATGGCAAGATCCTGTCCATAAAAAAGGCACGGCCAGGGACACGTGCACCAGCTCCAACGAGGGAACAGAGCTAGAAAGAGGCCCTGTGGGCCGGCACACGTCCTGCTTCCAGCTTATGTGACAGACCGAGGCTGGCTATGCATCCAGTCTGCAGTGAAGGAAAAGGAAAGAAACTGAAAAATTTTGTTAATGGGTTTCAATTTTGTACTTTTACGAACACCATATGCAGTGTAATAATGAGTTCTGATTTCTGTAATTAAGGGAGGATTCCATGAGTGAGGGACAATCCAATCATTTAAGCGATTGATTTCTTAAAACTGAATGTTTTAGCCTTTTTTATGTTTATGTGTGTGCAATTATTCAAATTACATCTTACATATTACTATTGTTATGTAAGTTACATGTAGAAAACTGTGGAGGTACTTCATTGCTTGAAAACAATTGGCCACCACTCTCATCCCTGAAACTCATTCGTCCTAGACCATTGTGTTGACACTGTAGATAAAGTGATGTCATAATCCATCAGTTATTCCCAGCAGTAGATCCAGTACCGTAGGGAACGTGTCCGGTGTTTCATTGTTGCTACTCACTTTTCCTTACAGGACAAAGTTCAAAAAACATCAGTTCGTCTCCAAGCATTGAGAGTTTGCCTGGAGGAAGAGAGTTCACCGGCTCCCCACCTGCCTCTGCTACTAAAAAGGATTCCTTCTTTAGCAACATCTCCCGCTCCCGCTCCCACAGCAGAACTGTGGGCAGAAAAGAATCTGTAAGTGTTTAAGGACAGTGTCCACCTTCCCCTCCACTGCCGCGGCATCTATGGAAGGCTCGTGTGGGGCCCAAACTCATAAAGCGCTCAGCTAAAATGCATCCTTCTATCCGAAGTTTCTTAATTTTATTATTATCACTTAGTAATATTTTAAGGCTTTGGTCTGTATCACACTGGAAAAAAGTAGCATCAATTTAAAATAAGTTGCATCTTTATCAAATCCCTGTCCTTTTTCCCCCTTACAAATGCCTTTTTCTCAAAGTCTGTGCCTTTTCTCAAATTTAACAAAGAACATCATATCAAATAATAGATTATGATACTTGAAACAAACCAAACTGGGCCTGTTGCAGGCCTGAGTATTTCTGGAAAGTTAAAAATAATTATTTCACAGTTTGTTTTAAGAAGTGTACCTAAATTAGAGTGTTTTGCTGGTTGCTTTGTGATATCCTTTGTGTATATTTATCAAGGTCGTACCTAAAGCACGCCGTTAGCTGGGAAAATCTGGCTGTATCTGAAGTTGTTGTAAGCCAGCAATCACAAGAACTCCCCGTTTAACCACAAGGCCTAACTAGTTCAGTGCCTAATGCTGTAATATGAAGAACTCACCTGCCCTCCGGAAGTGCACACAGGTGTGAAGGTGATGCAGAACTGGACCTCGCTGTAGCTGACGTGGTCTGAGACTAGAAAGAACCAACCAGCTGTAAAACCTTGGTGAGAGATTATTGCAGACGCATAGTACAGGTGCGGTGATAGCTGTGCAACTTTGTGTGTCCTTGGGCAGGTTGCTCGGCTTCCTGGTGCTCAGCCACCTCCTCTGCAAACGAAGCAACACACAGTCATGTGGCACCTTGGTTCTTGTTGTGGGAGCATTGCACAAACCAAGATGACTGCAGCATCACTGGGACATGCCATCGCTTTGTATTCATTCATTTATTGTGAGAGAGGCATGGCTCCCATCTGCTAGTTAGCTCCCCGATGCTGCAGTGGCCAGGGTGAGGCCAAGCTGAAGCTGCAAATGGGAGCCCCATCCAAGTCTCCCTCCAGGGAGGCAGGAACCCAGTCACCTGAGCCGTCGCCTGCTGCCTGCCAAGGCCTGCACTGGTAGAAAGCTGGAGTCAGGAGCCCGAGGCAAGGGTCAAACCCAGGCCCTCGGATGGGGGACGCAAATGTCCTAACTGGCATCCTCATTGCTAGGCCTCGTGCCTGCCCTACGGACTGTGTGATGCTAGGGGACCACTGCCATTGATGTGGCCCGTTATCAAGTGAAAGGTCCTTGTGCACGTGACTGTACTCCGCCCTTGGAGGGAAGAATTCATTACTTCTCTCTTCCAATATGTAGGAACTGTGAATCTGTAGTTAGTAAAACATCAGAATGAGACTTGTGTTTATAGAGATAGCTCCTTAAATGTAAGCATTTAGCTCTGTTCCTCTTGAAACTCCACTGCAGGGGAAATCATGGGATTTAAGCCCTCAAAGAATAAGAAAACAGGAGGGAAGACAGTGGTAACCAAGTGTTGTTACTTGGAGAGCAGACAGCAGTTGGTAACTAAGCAGCCTTAGAACACTGGCCCCTATGTCAGCAGTAGGAAAAAGAGAGAAGCAGCTTGACTGAGACTATAGAATCCTCTAGAAGCTCAGGAACTTGAACAAAAGGATAAAGATAGAACCAAAGACATGAGAATTGGTCAGGAGTTTCTTCAAGAAGAATTAAGTTCTCTTCTGCAGCCGAGCAGAGTCCTGAACAGTATAAAACAGACTGGGACTGGGCTGAGGGAGACCTGGCACTCTGCAGCATGGGCCCGCCCTGCTGTGAAGGGGATGATGCATATATGGAAGTACCCCACTGGAGACTCGGGCCTCCCAGCTTGCTGTCCAGAGTGCCAGTGAGTATAACCCTCCAGGCAGGAGGTTGGCAGAGTGCTCCCTAGGCAAAAGCCACACTGACCCAACACGCACTGCCCTTGAGGGTTCAAGGAAGCAGCCAGTTCACTTTACAGTGGACCCCTCCGTTAGCAAGCCCTGTCTTAACACAGACTCCTTAGCTTGTCAGTTCACACTATGTTATGAACAATCCTACCAAGAATCACCAGACACTCAAAGAGGGTACCATGAAAACAATAGAAGTGAGTAACTGAGAGAGAATAAGCTTGTGTGGGGACAAGAACTCAGAAAACAAAGTAGAGGATTGTCCCTCGGTATCCACAGAGGATTGGTAGCAGGTTTCCCTGTGCCCAGCAGGTACTAAATGTTACAGATGCTCAAGTCCTGTGTGTACAATGACACAGTATTTGCATGTAACCTTCACACATCCTCTTGCTTACTTTAAATCATCTCTGGATTATTTATCATGCCCACTACAATATTACTATATAAATAGGTGTGGAACTGTAATGCGAGGGAATCATGACAAGAAAAAGTTTACTTGTGTTCCATAAAGACACTATTTTTCTGAATATTTGGTTGAATCCACAAATGTGGAGCCCACTGATGAGGAGGGCCAATTTTAATTCAGAGAATTTTTGAGAGAAGCTATTAAAAATTAAAGTGTAATATCCAAGATGTAAACTTCAATAGAAAAGTTGGAAGATAAGTTGAAGAAATCTCCCCATAAAATAGAAGACAGCAATAGAAAATAAGAGAGAAAATTTGAAGAAAATTAGAGAACTGACCCAAGAGTTTCAAAATCTCAAAAAGAGGAGAACAAAGAAAATAAGAGAAATAATAAAAAATGCAGTTAGAAAAATGTTTCCACTAATAAAACCTGAGTCTTAAGATGGGAAGTCCATAGAAGGCCTTACAGAAGTAAAAACAAACCTACACTCAGATACATTGCTAAAAATGTTAAGAATCTGGGAACGAGAAATACCTCACAGACGTGTAGAACTGAGAAAGATTTCCAACAAAGAATCAGGAATTAGAATAGCTACAGATTTCTCCATAGCAACACTAAAAGCAAAACAATGGGCAGTACCTTCTAAGTTCTGAGAAAAAATTACTTCCCACCCAGATCCAACACCCAGCTAAACTACTAAATGTGAGAGTGCAGTAAAGCCACTTTCCTACGTTAAAGACTGGGGGGAAATGTACTCCTGTGCACCCATTCTGAGAATCCACTAAAGGATGTGCTCCACAAAAATGAGGTGTAAACCAAGGAGTATGGATTCCTGAGAACTGGCTAACCATGGATGCAGAACAGGGAAAAGATTCCCGGGGACGATAATGTAGGGAGATCTCCAGAATATAGTTTATCTTTTTAGGCCCAGAAAGAAGCAACCAGCCAGATTGGAGCAAGTTGTAAGATTCCAGGAAGTTTTTTTTCAAAAAGATGAAATTGAACAAATTGAGAGTTTTATGTACCTTAAGGTGAGTTTGAGTCTGAATTGGTGAGACTCTGTCTCTCTACCTTTCAAATAGACAAAAATAAAGAAATGAATCTTTAAACAAAATTAATACTAATATAAAGAACAGGATGATTGGTAACCAAAAGAAAACCAAGTATGCATAGGAGAGAAGGTGTATGATAAACCTTACTAGTGAGTATGCCCTGAAGTTTCAAGATGCTGTATTGAAGCCTGTTTACTATTAATGTAATCAGAATGCTGTCGCTGTGGAGGAGAGATGTAGGCACTGTGTGACTGCATGGGAGGGAAGGGGAGGTGGGTTACGGTCAGGAGAGCTACATCTTAATCATGAGGAGTGGGAAGTCAGTGGATAATACTCTAGAAAAATTCAGAAGTAGCTGTGTGAGCTAGAGAGCAGAGGTGGAAAACAGAGCAAAGTGGGTGAAGAGTTGACAGTGGTTACCTCTGAGGGCAGGAAACAGAGGGTGGGGTTGTGGGAGCTGTTTCTCATAACCAGTCTTGTAGAAACGTTTGACTTTTCAAGTGATGCATGCATAACACACATTAAAAATAATGACTACAAGTTACAACAAAAATAGAGTGGATTGGCAAAATAAATTAGAAGAGGAGATGTCTACACAAAGAATGTGCGTGTGAAAAAGCAGGATAAAAGAATAACAAATGAGAAAGGCATATGGAGGCATGTTTAATTTGCATTCGGTCAGATTTGGTGGCATATGGATTAGTCTGTAACATCAATTAATTACTTCTCTTTAAAGTGATACTATAACTTAAAATCAAGAAGTTGAGCAAAAATAAAAATAGAGTAAGTCTAATTCCCTGCAGAGACCTGCTGTGAACCAAGATACAGAATGCAAGGTATCATTCAGAATTTAATTTGTTTCCTAACTGGTGGGAAAGAAGTCATCAGACATTTTCAGGGGAAAGGCTCATGGTTTCCCAAGTGATTTTACCTCCTTATTTTATGAGACGATGTGTTGTCGTCAGTGCACTTTGCTAGTTCTCCCCATTCTGGACGCTTAATAGGGTTATACCTCCTTGTCTGCTGTAATCTGTCAGTCTATGCACAGCTCTCCTTGGGGAGTTGTAAGTGGAGGCAATGCATGTGTGTTGCTCCTGCAAGGCCACCCACACCATGTCAGAGGCTAAAAGTGTATGGTCCCTTTCCCTGACTCGGTGAGGAGAGCCTGCCTGGAGTGTGGGTGATGAATAAGCTTTTATTGATTTAAGCTCCAAGATTGATGGGTCTCACAGCCTAAGAGTGCACAGCTGGAGACTGCAGGGTCCTAGCTGGGAGCCACCTACTGCCACCAGAGTATCCAAGGACTGTCCCTGGGCCCACTTCACTTTCATTCCCAGCCCAGTTTTGTGGATACACGGAGCTTCTACATACTCCAAAGAGTTCAAGGTATTTTTTATTAAAGTCATCGTCAGCAGTTTCTCATACAAGGGACAGGCCAGAAATCGAAACGAAGACATTTCTCGCTCTGAGTCCCCTGTGCCTTAACTATATGTTACCTTTCAGATTGCAAGGCTCAGTTTGATCTTTTTAAGTGGGTCAGGGTCAAGAAATTGTTAGAATCAATTAGCAAAAGGCTAAACCAGCTGTTGAAAACAGACATGAAGCCAAAGATAATC